CCCCATTCCTATACTCATCCAGAGACCCCTTTCTTTCCCTCCCTGCGTACTCCATGCTGCGGTGATTGTCGTTGCGGTTTTTTTTTAAATTTCTATTTTATTTCAACGTCTGTGTCAAGTATGAAGATCGGAACTTCAAGAAGGAAGAAATCGAGAGGCCTCGATGTAAAAAGAACGGCTCAACCATAGCGGCCTACCCACTGAACAGGTCTTATTACCCCTTATATCACTTTATACCAAGCTACTCATTTCTCTCAAACGGTCCCGTCTTCTGAACATGTACAAATTGAAGATTTTTGAAAAATTCTCCCATGACAGCCTGAATAGGTTGGGTATAGGTATCAGGTATCTCTTGAAAAAGAAAAGGCATATGTTTTCCCACCTCTCGTCCTTCTCCTTCTTGTCGATAGAACATTCTCTTAGTGTTGAAACCTTTGTAGAATTTTTCATGCCAATCAGCGTGGAAGTAAATGGCATTCAGAACCAGCGAATATGCTCCTGTAATAAAACGGTAACAGTAATTTAGCACTTACTAAACATTGCTATATATAGGTCTAAATCGCTCTAAAATTACTTGACAAACCTAAATTCGAAAATTGGCCCTTATTTTGCTCAAAGGTTTTGTAAATCCTTCTGCGATAAATTCTTGGGTACGTTGATCACAGGTGCTGCGCCTTTGCCCTTAGCACTTTTACCGGACCCCCTTGAGACTCCGAATTCTAAATTCCATTTTTCAGGTGTGACTGCTCAGCTAAACCCCAGGCTGATCAAAGTCTGGCAAGTGTCCCATTTAGAGTCAGTTGGGTTCGCTCGCTCCCTGCCCGTTTTGGCTTGCCCTTTACTCAACAGAGCTGAATGGTAGTTGNTCCCAAAAAATCCCAAAAAAGGGCCAACTTTGGCAGTTTTCTCCTTCATCCTGAAGTCCAACGCTTGAACTCGGGCATTGTAATCTTTCCTGATTTTCCGCTCATACTCTTTTTCGATATAAAAATTCTTGCTGAAGATAAACATCAAATTAGCAGGGAGGCCAACAAAAATGAAAATCATGCTTACTCTAGAAAAAACCCATTGGCAATGTTGGTTTTCACCCCTCCTGATGCATTCTGGAGATGGCTGTAGAGGCTTGGATAGTAATCATCAATCTCGTCATCAGATGCATCTAAACATGAATGACATTCAGGAATTCTCTGCGGTCCTCAAATGTCCTGCTGCAGTACCTCTAGAAATGACGGAATTGATTTGAGACCTTGTGGGGCCTTTTGCCCCAAGTCGGATCATTGCCAGAGCGAAAATCATGGAAACGGGTGATACGACTAAGGGCTCATTGGCAAACGCAAAGCGGATCATATTCAGGCCAAACTCTAGTTCAGCCGGTAAAAACATCCTAAACATCACGAAATTTGGACTTCTTCATGTTGACTTATCAAGTAGCCTATCAAGTAATACTGAAAGTGTCGAAATGTGAGTTTGCTTTCATGTCCTAGAATGAAAGCCATGATAGTGATGAAGTCCCATATACTTTGAGGTAACTACCTTCGAGACCCAAGCCACTACTGAGTTAGTAGCGGTTCAAGATCCATCTCAGANGACTCAAGTGAACAGCTTGTCGGTCACAATCTTAGCTCAAATTAAAGATTCGAGATTTAATGAGAGAAATGGAAAGCTCATAGAACATGATAGTACTTAATATAATCAAAATTAAAGAAAAATAAATTTCACTGTGATCTACTGACGATCTACTGACGCGATTAGAATTTTTCAGCTGAAGCGACGAGGCAATGCAATGGTAATGAAAAGCAGATCATTGATGTAAAGAGGATATTGACAGATAGGAGAACGGGCAGAACGAAAGCACAGCTGATTGATGAGGATGTGGAGGGGGAGGGATCAACTTTTTAATAGATACCTATTGATCAGTTGCTCTTATGATTAGGTTGAAGAGAAAGGATCAAGTTTCTGGCGCTTCGTCTTTTACATGCGCCGCTCATTTGATTTCCATTCGGAATCGTAGGGGGAATTGAATCATGTGTAGCCTAAACAATGACTTGCAGTACCCAGCTGAGGTGAGCTGTACGAATAGTGTTTTGTCAGATGGATCTGGTTACAATCACCCTGAAGAGGTGGTGGCTTGGTTGGCTCGGGCGGATATCGAAGCGGATTTTCGTTGTTGCGGCTAAAGGCTGAATAGGGAATATTTTGGCCGTATGACCGTCTGGACTATGTTTCTGTGCCATCTTCTTCAGGAAATAGTTCTTTCAAAGTTTACTGTGACGGGCTCCTTGGTAAACCTCGAACTCTTTCTCTGTAATACCCCTTGGTTAAGCCTCTTTCTTTTCCACGAGGACCTCACGATTTCCTACTGCTTCACCTATAAGAATGGCTATATTTCTCTCTGTCACTTACCTTGCTAGCAGCAAAGAGGCTACGAAGACGAAGTCAAGTCTACCACAAAAATGAGCTTGGTATCAGTCTCAAACTAACATTCGAGCCTTTTGGGTACCTCAATTTCAGTGAAGTGATCATCCTACAGCTTTTAGACGCACGCCTGTGATGGATCATGGAAGGGTATAGATATTTCTCTAAGTAGTATAATTTAGAATGGAGGCTACTGTAGGCAAAAAGCGAAATAGGAAATTTCGGCTTATTCCAGTAATAAATATTCAACGTGGCCCTACGAATGTTCAGAGTCTCCGATCCTTGGCAACCGCAACCCGCTACTGGAAAGGCTTAGCAACAGGTACCACTCATATGCTACCCAAATTTTTGTCGCTACCGAGTAGGTAGGTAAACTGGGCTGAAGAGAAGCAAGGACTAGGAAGCAATAACTGGTATACGCTTGATAACAGTAGGAGTTATATAGGGTGAATACTCATTCAAGGTCATTAGTAT